AAAATATACACAGCCTAAAATTTACCGTCTTAACTATTTTTAAGCGGAAAGTTGAGTAATGTTAAGTGCATTCACATTGTTGCAGTCAGTCTCCAGAACTCTTCCCATCTTCCCAGACAGAAACTCGGTCCCTGTTAAACAGCTCCCGCCCACCACAGTCCTCCCCAGCCCTCATTCTACTTTCCGTCTCTCTGAATTTGACTACTCTGGGTGCCTCACATGAGTGGAATCAGACACTGTTTGTTTTCATGTGTCTGTCTCATTTCACGTAGCACACTGTCCTCAAAGTCCATCCACGTTGTAGCCTCTGTTGGAATTTCCTTCCCCTTTAAGGCTGAATAATGCTTTACCGTGTGAATACACATTTGTTTATCTGTTCATACATTGATGGACACTTGGGTTACCTCCACCTTTTGGCTATTGTGAATAATGCTACTATAAACATGGATGTACAAATATGGATTACAAGGACTTTGGGGCCTTGTTTTCGATTCTTTGGGATATATAGGATATGTGATTTTTAAAATCACAGTTATTGCAAAATATCCAGAATGATGATAGTGAGGTAGGAAGCCCCAGAAAAAGACCGGCAGGACCCCCAGGCAGGGCCACTACTCTCCCACCAGCACCATCCGGTTTCCTGGTCCAGAGGCTTTATCTCACTTTTTGCCTCTGAAATTCTACTGATTCCCTGAGCTCCCTCCTGATTGGTTATTTCCTTCACTCCTGATTGGTCCATTTTCCTAACTTCTGATTGGTCCATTTGTAGTACTTCATTTGCATGGAGCTCACTCCTGATTGGTTATTTCTCTCCCTCCTGATTTGTCCATTTCTACAAAGCTTGTTCCTAATTAGTCAACTTCTGTTACACTTTATTTGCATATGATATTGCAAAGTGTAAACTGACAGCCTATAAAAGCTTGTGTAAACCTACAGACAGGGTCCAGAGCTTGGAGTGTTAACTCCTTTGGGCCTAATGGCGTAGTAAACCTGAGTTCTCCAACTCTCCGAGTGCTGCTTGGTCTCTTGCCAGGGTCCAGGTTGCTGTCACAACTGAGCTGTAACACCGAGCTTAACACATTTTTTCTGCAACAATAGTATCAAAATTTTAAATAGAGACAGCGTCCATATTATGGATTGTTCCTTTTTGTCACTCTCCTGTGGGTCAGCGGGGCAGTGGAAGGTAGCCACGATGATCCCCATTGTACAGAAGGAAAGACTGAAGCCCTGAGGAGGGCTTGCTTCCCACAGTCTGGTTAACTGGTGCCCAAGCAGGAAAGAGAACCGAGGCTGCTGGTTTCCCACCTGTGTAACCAGGGTCCTTTTCAGTCTTCACTAGGGGGACCAAGAGACATCAAACTCTCTCTTTGGCTAACCCATAGTCGGGTCTAACACACAGAACTGTCCAGGTGGTTGAGTTCTCATTATCCCTCCTTGAGATCAAACATTTCGAGTCTGTGTACCTCCATTCCTCCTGCCTGCCCCAATAAAGAGGGGTTTTAATCACATCCTACGTCAGTGTTTCTCCTGCCTACTGATGTGACTTGTTCCATTTTGAGCAACTGTTTTATTTACAGATTCATGTCTAATTTATACCCTGTCTGCTTTCAGAAAAGATCTGAAGTAGAGACAAGGTATTAATAAATCCATGGTGTGGAACATGTCTGTTAAATCGAGGACTGGCGGGAGGTGAGGATGCAGCTGCCCGTGGCCTCCTCAAGCCCTCATTTCACGGCTCTAGAGCAGCCACCGGGGCCATCAATTCATCCCCACACCAGGCATTGATCCTGCGCAGCAAAGGAAGTTCATTAAGGTAATTGCCTTTACAAAGAACTATACTTTGTCTTCTTCTGACTTTGCTCCAGACAAGAGTTTTTGGCCTGAATGTGAACGTCCTGACCTCATGGAAATGCTCGTTGATGTGGTTTGATCTGCCTCATC